ACTCAATACAACACATGCTAGAAGGTGCGAGTTAGTTTAAATGGAAAGATAAAAAGATGCACGAGTAAAAAAAAAAAGATACGGGACCTATTGCCTCACTGAGAGTATGACCCTTAATGGAGTAGAATGACGGGTCAAGATTTGTGTAACTAACCCCAATTAATTGGAAAAAGATTTTGATGATGGTGATGATGATGCACATATAAAACCATGTATTTACAAACATGTATACGTATCTCTATAATATATGGTAAACTATAGGGATATCCACCAGTAATTCACCGAGGCGAACAGTCGATGAACTTGAAGAGAGAGAAAAAAAGAGAGCATATCTATATCGTATATAGTACACCCTAGACCATACAAGAAAAAAAACGTAGGCTACACCAAAAGATCATCAATTCCCATAAAAGGACACTAGAGAGAGAGAGAGAGTATACCTTCAGAGATAGAAAGATAGAGAAAGAGAGGAGGATTTATCATATTGCACACTGTACAGTGACATCCGCCGTCCGTTCTCGGCATTGGACAATGTGGTTAATTAGACACCGTCCATTTTTGGGTCCCCATCTTAAGATACCAACTACCTTACCTACCATACGCAGTCAGTGTATGGTGTAAATTCCCAGTTTGGATGCCAACAATCATACACCACTGGTCCAATCCGCCACACACCACCGGTGTATGGTGTACTTTTCATGTGGGAAAGCCAATTGAGTGAGTCGGTGAGTTTCAAGGGCACGTGGTCAAAAATGTTTGAAGTAAATGAAGATGCTTTGCAAGTTTTCTATGGTTGGTAATTGGAATGTTAGTTCTAGGGTTTGCTCTCAAGTCTTTACTCTGAAACTCACCTGGTAAATGCTAAAGCAATGACTTTTTTTTTTAATAAAAAATTCTTTTTTTTTTTTCTTTTTTTAAAGGAAATTCACCCCAAAATTTTGGCAACCTCTCGTTGAGAAAACTATGTCGAAATTTAGAGGTTGAGATCAAAATACCCTATCCCATCGAAATAGTTGGAAAAAAGCTCTAGTGTTTGCAAACTCGGCTGGTACAACTCGAAACTGACTGGTCAAATCGGAACTGGGCACTAGCCAATCCAGTTTTGGCTGTTTTTGGTGGTTCGGCCAAATATTTTTTAAAAAAAATCAAAAAAATTAAATAAAATCTCAAAAAATAAGAGATTTATTTTTTTTGTGTTTTAATTTTATTTTTTTTTTCATTTTGGCAAAGATTGCTAAGTGTTTTGGGCATGAATTCTTATTTTGCATTTTCACATATTTTTAAAAAATTTCAAAAATACCCCAGGCACAAATCGATTTTCAATATCTATTTTTTTTCATTAATTTTCTTTTTCATTTGGATGTGTTTATCATACTTTTAATATACATTTCATTTTTTTTAGGTTGTTTTGTATTTTTTTTATTTTTTTAACCCTTTTTGGATCGGTCAAGACCTGCTTTGTTTTTATCATACTTTTAATATACATTTCATATTTTTTTATATTTTTTAACACTTTTTGAACCGGTCAGGACCTGCCTAGTCAAGCAGGTTGAACCAACCCGTTTACCAGTTACTTAGAACCGGCGCCGGTTTCAAAGGCCAGCTCGATTTTTCGAACACTGTTTCATAATACCTTCAACCACCATAAGCTACAAAGGATACTTTTTTGGGGAAACTAAAAAAAACTGAAGACATCCAAACCTTGTTTAAAGGAGTACAATTTGTAAGCCTAAGAGTGAAGGTGGGCTTCATATCAAAAGAGTATTAAAGACATTAACATGTCTCTACTGGTTAAACTTGGATGAGAATTGGCAAATGGAACAGTCCATATGGTCAGATTTGATGATGAGAAAGTGCCTTTAGAGACACCAAATAAGGGTCCCTAAACTCACCAGGAAAGACACTTGGGCCTGGAAAAGCATATATGAAAGACTCTGACTTGTTAAGAGATATAGAGATATACAAAAGAGTAAACTTGTGGAAGTTCAATATAGGCACTATAACCCATTCAAGTGTACCTTACCTCCTAACAAATTGGTCCAAAAAAAAAATTCACAAATAAATATCTTTTTAAAAATTTTAATGTCTTCTTGCTACCATATGGGTAATTTGGCAAGAAAGAAACCGGCGAGCAAAAGAAAATTTCGAGTTATCATTCCAAAGTGCTCTAACAGAGGTAATTTTGGAAAATAAAAAAAAGCATTAGAGAAAGCATGTTTGTCCCAATTAAGGATGAAAGAGAAATAATCATTTATAGATGGAAAATTGACCTCCTAAGGAGTGTGTAATTTTTCAGTGTGTTTTTTTGTACATTTTTCACATACATGTAGTTATATATTTTGTGTCGGGAGACATTTAGCCATCTGATTTTGATTAGACAACTAGGATTAATGTGATACTCATGTCATATATCAATTATGACCCAATAGTTTTAAAATTTTGAATATATTTTGATAGGGCACGTGATGGTGCCAAGTATGTACACCTAAAATTTCAGCTTACATTGGTTTTGTAAATAAATATAAACATCAATTTTCAACCATCTATCAAAGATCTAATGGTTGGGAAGATAACTTAAGCTACTATTCATATTAGGTATAACCTATTAGTAGCTTTATCCTATGCATGCACACTAAGGTGTGGATTGAGCATATCTATAAAAATTTGAAATATTGAAAATGGACGCACTACTTTTAAAATTTGAAATCCTTCTCTTTTTTCATATATACATGTCGAAGTCGAGATGAAATTGGAGGGTTTTCCAAGATTAAAATGACATTTTTCAATGGGTCACATATCTATAAAATGTCAGAATATTGAACCTCTCCCTCTGAATCTTACCAGGGTTTCAAGAAAGCAGCTTCAAACAGATGGGAATTCAAGCATGAGAAGTTTGTTAAAGGTGGGAGGCATTTGTTGATGGAGATCAGTAGAAAGAAGGGGGTCCCAAGTGTTTTCCCAGCCTTTCTAAAAGCATGTGATAATACAAGGGTTTTAGAACAGGATCTCTTGGAGGAGAACAAGAGTTTAAAGATAGAGAGAGCTTCATTGCAATCTGAGATAAACTACTTTAAAGGCCTTCAAAGGAAGCTGCTTTGTTGCATTTCTGAGTGTGTGGAGAGAGGGAGGCTTGGAGAGTTGGACTTTGAATTGATAAGAAACTCCTTTCAACAATGAAAACTACAAAGAGTCTGGCAATAAAACTTGTTAAGCCTTAGACTGGAAGGATAATAGTACCCTTTAAGACAAGATGAGTAGTGGGAGAGATGGCCTTTCTCTCTCTATATATATATATATATGAAAAAAATTCATACAAGGGCGTGGTCCTAAACAATCAAAGTAAGGCGTACCTTTAAAATTCAAGATTTATGAATCAAAGAAAAAATAGATTTTAAGTCTTGGAAATAGTACTTATTGTAATCTAGACCGTCAATTTTCAAGTTTTTCAAGTGTTCATAGATTTGCTCGATCTACACTGCTTTT